AAAGATGAATTTTAAATGAAAATGTACAAAGTAAAATAAAACCTCTAGGTGTGGAAGAATATCTTTATGACGTTAGGAGAAAAAAGATTTCTTGAGTAAGATGACAGAAAGCATAAATAATAAAGGAAGCAATTGACAAATTAAACTTCTTTAAAATTTATTACTTCTGTTTATCAAAAGACACCATTAAGAGAATGAAAAGTTAAGCCACAGATTGGGAGAAGACCTTTGTAATAATGTATTTGAGAAAGAGTTCATTCTAGAATATACATAGAATTTCTAGAAATCAGTAAGAAAAAGTCTAACTAAAAATTGGTTAAAAGCTTTGTTATCCAGTCTGGGTGTGGTGACTCAGCCTGTAATCCCAGCACTTTGGGAGGCTGAGGCGGGCAGATCATTTGAGGCCAGGAGTTCGGGACCAGCCTGGCTAACATGACAAAACCCCATTTCTACTAAAAATACAAAATTAGCCGGGCATGGTGGTGCATGCCTGTAGTCCCAGCTACTTGGGAGGCTGAGGCATGAGTATTGCTTGACCCATGGAGGCAGAGGTTGCAGTGAGCCGGGATTGTGCTGCTGCATTCCAGCCTGGGCAACAGAGTGAGACTCTGTCTCTCTCTCACACACACACGCGCGCGCACACACACACACGCACATGCACACACACGATTGGTGATGACAAAAAGGAAGAAAAACATTCTTCTACATTCATTCTTTCAGATTTTTTTAGTATCCGTTCTTGTCATGTAATGTCAACAATGAAATACTTGTTAGAAATTTGAGTGGATAGATTAATTAGAAGAGACCTTACTGTGCTATAATAATATAACAGAAATTTCATATAACAGAAATTTCAACCAAACTCCCATTTAATAACAAATTCATACATAGCTGATTTAGAATTTATTAGTGGTTTACATTTTTATCAGTTGGCAGAAAGAAAATAACTGATATATTCCTATATTTTAGCGTTTGTCCAGAGGGAGGAGATTTCCAGTCAAGCTGTTTGGTGATGATTGCGTTAATGTATATGCACATATGGCCTTCTTCCTTCTGAATTGCTATGTTTGTTTGAGAGATAGGAACTGCTATTTTAGACAAACTTTTTCAAAATGAATGCTTCTGGCTTTCTAGTGATTTTAATTCCCAGCAATGTGTTGGCAAGATTTAGGTTTTAGGGGCCCAGGTATAGGTAACAAGAACAATGAAAAGGTATTTGGTTTGCCTTTGCCAGTCATTGTTCTATGTATTTATCTTTGGAATTTACAGTGAGTAGTAATTGGCGGAATATGTTTAGATTTTTCTACTTGGTGTAATCTTAAATATGTAATAATCTCTTCCTGATTTCTAACTATATTTGGGATTTTTTTTCTGTGACCTATATCAGTTTTTACAAAAAGGTCCATGGAAAATTGAGAATAATATGTAATCTCTTACTGGATAGAAAGTTTGAGATATATCTAGTAAATCAAGCCCGTCCCTCCTTCCCTCCCTCCCTCCCTTGTTTGTTTGTTTCTTTCTTTTTGGTCTCCTTCATCTGTCAAAGCTGGAAAGGTATTTAAAAAATAAAATTTCCAACTTTTCTCCTTTATGTACTGTTGCTTGGTGTAGTGACTTACCTGTAATCCCAGTGACTTGGGAAGCTGAGACAGGAGGATCACTTGAGCCTGGGAGTTTGAGATCAGCTTGGGCAACATAGCAAGACCGTGTCTCTAAAAAGTTTTTAAAAATTAGTTGGGTGTTGTGGTGTGAGCCTGTAGTCCTAGCTACTCAGGAGGCTGAGTTGTGAGGATTGCTTGAGCCCGGGAGTTCGAGATTGTAGTGAGCTATGGTCATGCCTCTGTACTTCAGCCTGGGTAACAAAATGGAACCCTGACTCTTAAGACGCACTCTTCTTTTTGAATTTTGCTTTTCAGAGATTTAAAACGTAAATATTGCTCTCCTTGCAATAAAAACCCTTGCTGTCCTTTTAATTTGAATTTTTTTGCTATGTTTTTGCTCATTTCTTTTAGCCTTTTTTGTACGAATTTGTTATTATGCTTACCTTTGTGTGTAGGGGGTCTCCTCAGTTCAGCTTTGTTTTATTAAAACATTCTGGTTGCAGTCTATTAAATTGATTTCATGGGCCAAAACCAGCAGTTGGAAAACACCTAAGATACATTTTTTTCTGTGTGGGAAAGTACATTGATTTCTGAGTAGAACAGGCTTAGGTCTGAATCCTGTGTCTCTCATTTACTAGCTATATGACTCTTAACTGTTAGTTACTTAATGCAGAATTTGCAGCATTTTTAAAGCAGGAAATGGATTCCTCATATAATTCTCAAAGTACGGAATTTTCCAGTTGAAATATATTCTGTGTGTGTTCATGGCCCCTACTGGCAAACATATATCACTGCTAAGAGCCTGTTGTACCTATACACAAACTAAATGAAAATGAAGGCTGGGTCACTGGAACCAGCCTACCACTTCCATTGATTGGTATGCAAGAGAGAAAGGGGAATGTGCAGAAGAGATTCTAGAATTATTGAAATGCTATGAAGAAAGAATGAATTCTAGGTGGTAGCTGAGATTCCATAGCAAATGTGGTATTGCTGTACTAAATTACCCAGTTGATGAAAACATCTTGACAAGTTTTCAAGTCACACTATTGTGTGATTTTTTGTTTGTTTGTTTTGGAATGATGATGCAGTGGGGTACACTTTCTCAGGTTTTGTTTGGTTTTACATAGAATTCAGTTTCAGATATGTAATTTACATCTGGGCTACCTAGAATGCATTCGTTTGACAGGGTGAAGACTTTTTGCATTGGGGTTGCCATGTTCGTGAAAATGCACAGATAAAAAGGAAAGTTACTTTTGCTAACCTGTTTATCATATTAAAAAAACACACCATATATATTTTCAGTTATTTTTTATTTTGTTTATTATTATTATTGCTTTTTTATAAAGATGAAGTTTGCTCTGTTGCCTGGGCTGGAGTGCATTGGCATGATCTTAGCTTATTGAAGCCTCAGACTTCTGAGATCCTCTCACCTTAGCCTCCTGAGTAGTTAGGAGGCTTGGAAGTACCTGGAGACGTGGGGTGGGGACTGACTTCCCATCTCTCTTCCACTTAATTCCTCATTCCTTTCCATGCTCCACCTTTCATGTTTCCAGCCATTCATTGTCCTTACTACTCTTAGAACCCAGACATTGTGGCCTTGCAAGACGGCTTTGTAACTACCAAACTCAGGGGATGCTGTACTGAGTCACTGCTCCCCCTTTCTTTATTCCCCTGAGGAAACCTGCTCGCTTTAGTAACCCTTAGGTCCCTTCAAGATAGCAGTAAAAAGATTACATGGAGAGACCTTCATAAATAGTACCTTTGTTCCCTTGTTCTTCATCCCATTCAGGATTACTTATTGCTTTCACCACTCCAGTCCTGTTTTGGACTCTTGGACACACTGAGTTCCTCTCTACCTCATGGTTGATTTTTTAGATAGAGCCCCACCCTCCTGTCCCTCTCCCTCATTGTGGACCTTGGTGCTATGGGGTTTATAAGATTTTACTGAGAAAGCCAAGTTTTCCCCATAGGCAGCCATCCGGAGCCATCCTGTCAAAATCTCTGAAATTAGAAAAGCATAAGAAGATAACACAGGGGAAAAGTAGCATCTTCAAATCGGAGAGTGAAGTAATGTTTTTTGGAATACCCATTATGCATTAAGCAGTGTGTAGGGTAGTCTCCATCCCCACAACAACTCTGTGTGTTTGTATTTGTTCCCAGGGTAAAAGATCTTGCTCAAGCTCACACACACACATTGAGTGAGTGACCAAATCAGGAATCCAACTTCTCTTTGACTTCAAAGCCTTTGACTTTCCTACTCTCTCATACTGCATCCCTGCTCAGAGCCAGTTTTGTGACCTGTAGAGCGGCTAGTGTTCAGTGGTGATTCTTATGTCATTACCTACATTGGTATTTTCAAATGGATTGTTTGGAAATACTGTATAAATAGTACAAACATTTTAGGACTTGAAGAACATAAAGGAAAAATAGGGAAAATTTGAGACAGGCTTATTCCCTAAAGACAGCAAACAGGATCTCGTAAACACTGATAACTTAAATAGATCTGTAATAACCTTTTGAATAATACTATGAGACAAATGTTGTTTAAATTTTATGCCCCAATATTATAATTTTAGGTTTTGGAAGTAATCTTAGAGAGACTGCTATCCATAAATGAGTTGTCTTTTCAGAGCACAACTAGCCCACTTCCCCTTCTCATTAAGTTTCCATTTAGCCATTAGGTGGGAGCTTCAAAAGGGAAAATCCAATCATGTATAATCTCTAGTTAATGGGCATCTATTGAGCGACTGGGTCACCAGAAAGAATAATTACACAGTACCTCTTTGTGCAGTAAACACAAAAATCAAAAGCTAATGCATTCCCAAGGCAAGCCAGATTGTTACTGGCTAACAGCATCCTCCTCTTCAGGGAGAAGGTTGGGGCACCCACCGTGCTTGCTAGGGGAGATTGCAAAGCCATTCCAGAAAAACAAGGCTATCAGGGGAGGAAGGACGAAGGCAGGGGGGCTTCCAAGGCTTTGCTACTTCTAATTGCGGATTCCCTGGGGTGCATTACTGAATAGCAGACCTTCTAGTAAATGTTTTGTGCAATCATCGGAAACTTCATGGGTCTTTGGAATTTCTTGCCACAAGTGCAAAAACAGTGATGACTGAGGTTGAGCTTCACCCTCACTCCCACAATTTAGCCTTTTTTCTAAGCACACCCAACCTTTGTAAATAATGACTTTATGCTTGCTTTTGTCTAACCACTAACTTGATTGATTTATGAAAGATGAGCACATCTCCCTTGACCCAAAATGGCATGTGTTAGCCACAGAGCCAAATAGTTCTTGGGTTTGTATTGGTACACTCTAGCTTGGGTTTGCAAAATTATTTCTTGTAGTTATTTAGGATTTGCAAAACTTGGTATAATTCAAATAACCTGTTTTTCCCCCCTTAGAACACTTCAGTTATGGAAGATCAAAATGAAGATGAGTCCCCAAAGAAAAATACTCTTTGGCAGGTAGGAATGACGGCGCACAGATTAGACAGCAACTGACTTACTATAGATAGGATGCTCCCTCAGTTAATGTCCTCAGTGGAATCAAGAGCCAAGCATTTTTGTTTTCTTTTGTGCAGTTTTGCTAGTTTCAGAATCCACCCTAATTTATCTTCCTTCCATAGGGAATTGTCATTACAAATATGCTAAATAATTTTGGAGTTTCCACAAAGATCTGAAGTGGCTGTAGCCTAAAATGTTCTGTCTGTGGCCTCTGCCTAAGCCAAAGATGGATAGTGATGGCATCCTTTGTCACCAGAATTGCACCATGCCACACGCCAGTATATACATGGATGGCCTTTTCTCCTTTTGCTCTCAACCTTTAGTCTTCTCTCCCATTTCCATTGGTTTGCCTTTTCCTTTTAAGCTCATCTCCTTCTCCCTTGGCTCTGTTTAAAGGTTTGCCAGTTTTCTTCCCAATTCCCCAGGTTGTGTGTGTGTGTGTGTGTGTGTGTGTGTGTGTGTGTTATGTGTGGTTGGGGGTTTGGGGAGCAAGCAGAGTTTCATGATTTGGTGTTTTATCAACCATGCTGGTACACATGGCTTTCCCCTTCATGAAGACAGGATTTAAAAGCAAAACAAATCTAAATCTGAAGAGACTAATATAAAAATGAATTCTCTGGGTTCATTTGATTTGAAACTAAAAAGATAGATTAGTTAGCAGGAACAAAGTGCACCCAACACATTTAAGAGGAAATGAAGCAAAGAAAAACAACACTAGGAAGAGCTTGCTGGGCTGAGCACGTGGTTGGAAATAGCATATTGAAAATGTGCTATAGAATAGTGCACATACCATTATTTTCTTCTTACATTGTGTACAGACTGAGTTTTGTACCCTCCTTCACGTTTATTATTTTGCAGCGGATGCTCTTCGTTTACTATGATTTTTCAATTGGCAGTGGTTCTTCACACTTTAGCTTTAGTTTTTCTTTCATCTATCTTCCAGTCAACTAGTTAATAATTATACAAACACTCTAGGGAGGCTAGATGATTAGGAACTTGTCTGTAAATAAAATAACACTTTTGCTTATCAAACGAATTAATGGCTGTGAAAGTACTTTGTAAATTATAAAGCAGTACACAAGTGTAAGTTGTTATCATTATATTTAACCTGTTATGAATCATCATTTTGGCAAGTTATTTGGAATAAAATATAGAAATAAAGGGGGAAGGTAAACACACGCAGTTTTCTTTCTTAAGGCACTTTTGAGATTTTGATGTATACCATTTACGCTGTCATGGTATGTTCTCCTTGTCATGAATTACTGTGATCATAATGTTTTGTAAAATCCTGGATCTTGCCTTTTGTTTCTTAATATTATTTCATAAGCATGTTCTGTTGTTATAAAAATATTACCCCCCCCTTTTTTTTTCCTGATGGAGTCTTGCTCTACACCCCAGGCTGGAGTGCAGTGGCATGATCTCAGCTCACTACACCCTCCGCCTCCCAGGTTCAAGCATTTCTCCTTCCTCAGCCTCCTGAGTAGCTGGGGTTACAGGCATCTGCCACCATGCCTGGCTAATTCTTTTTGTATTTTTAGTAGAGACAGGATTTCACCATGTTGGCCAGGCTCGTCTTGAACTCCTGGCCTTAAAGTGATCCAGCTAACTTGGCCTCCCAAAGTGCTGGGATTACAGACGTGAGCCATGCCTGGCCAAAATCTTACTTTATATGCTAATTTTAGTGGCTTACATTATAGCTCTTAATGGTGATGTGTTAGAATTTGTTTTAAACAGTTGCTTGTAATTGGGCAGTTATTTCTAACTTTTCTTTATTATATTGTGGACATCCTTATGCTTAAAGCAACTTAGATGCCCCTTATTCTTGCCAATATTCATCACAGCAAAGACTTTTCATCTCTGTTTTGAACTCTTTATTTTTTGGATCTGTTGAGACACAAATGTCTTAGTATAAGCAGTTTCAAAATCCTTGTTCAGTGCTTCCCCCTAGTGGTATCTGGTGTCAGTGAGCTTTTCCTCACCCAAGATACAAAGGAAGGAACATTCTTAGACAATGGGGCCGTAAGATAAACTGAGTGGAAGATAGATGCCTTTCCATCTTATACCTCTAAATATGGACATGAGAACTTCAGACATGAAATTTATAAGATTTTTTGTCAAGGAAGACTGAAGACTCCTTTGGATATTTACAAAGGATGTCTTCTCTGGGATGGGTTTAGTCCACTTTAAGTTAGGGGACATACTGATAGGAAAAGCTCTTGGTTCATTCCATGTAAGACTCCTGAGATAAGTTCCTAATGGAATTAATAGGTGTTTGTAATTCAGCTCTTCAGTTCTTAGAATTATCTTTTGTGTTATTTTTTCTGGTATTATGTATGAGGAGGCTATCAGAGGAGTGATCGACAAATGGTTTGACAAATGTTTGACAAAAGTATTGAGGTTATTTTGTTTAGACAGGGAGGTTACTGCGCCTCATAGTAGTTGTGGTTTGAGTCTAGTGATTGAGATTATTTTTAATGTTACTGTCCAGATGCAGTGTATGTAGTTTCAGTTTTAAAACATATACTGATTCTATGTAAGGACTTGTAGGAAGATTGGATGAGAAATGCATTGTTAGTATAAGAGTCTGTGAGTTGTCCATAAACCACCTATGTAAGATGTAGAATTTTTCAGGTACACATGGTTTATTTACCTTGGGTCACTTTCTTGGAAGGTAATCTAAAGAAGGATGGGAAAGTCTAAAAAGTTTTGCCAGATTAGTAGCCCTGGCAAAACCGTATGGAAGAGATTGAAACTGTTGGGTAAAATGAAGCTTTTTGGATTGAATTGCTTTCAGGTTTCAACACAGCACAGCTTGTCTTTGTTATATAGACCTGTGGTCCTCAACATGTGGTACCTAAAGTGTAGTCTCTGGACCAGTGGCATCAGCATTGCTGGGAAACTTGTTAGAAATACAAATTCTTGGGCTCCACTCCAGACCTCTAGGGTGGGACCCAGCGGTCTGTGTGTTTAACAACCCCTCTTGTTATTCTGATGCTAGTTCAAGTTTGAGAACCATTAGCATAGATGTGTGTAGCATTAACTTTCAACTTTGAGGAAGTAAAACAAACTGTTAATAATCAGTTGCCACTTTGCCAAGTTGAGCAGTTTCTCTACGATGGTTATCTCCAGCAACAGTTATCTTTGGAGACGATAATTCCTATATATCCTGTGTATAGAGAGATACCCAGTATATATCTTTGGAGCATCATTTTGTAATAAGCGTTCGAAAATGATGATTTAAGGTGCCTTTTAGAAATAGCTATCACTTTGGCATTTCCTGTAGTGACTAATTTGAGGACACAGACCCCGAATACATTTTAAATTCCTGAATGAATTAATGATGGAATGAGTTTGGCTTTAGGGTAAAAGTGTCATTTTAAGATTAAATACACAGGGTGAAAAATATTTCCATGAAATATTAATTAGGTTTCTTTCCTTGTTAAACTAATTATTTTTTTGTTTTTCTAAAATAGATAAGTAATGGAACATCATCTGTGATCGTCTCCAGAAAGAGGCCATCAGAAGGAAACTATCAAAAAGAAAAAGACTTGTGTATTAAATATTTTGACCAGTGGTCTGAATCAGATCAAGTGGAATTTGTGGAACATCTTATTTCACGAATGTGTCATTATCAGCATGGACATATTAACTCTTACCTGAAGCCCATGTTGCAGCGGGACTTTATTACCGCTTTACCAGGTAACTGTACTTGTCTTTTCAAAAGCTGAGCGATCGAAGAATGCCCGGCCCAAGGATCTAGGTGGATATTTATGAAATGATTGAATGAGTACTGTGTGAGGCAGCATTTCTTTGGGACACATACTTTAATATATGGAACTTGAGGAATTATAATTTAGTATCTATCTAGGAAATATAGGCAGTATCTTTAACAGTGTTCATCATTGGCTGGGCATGGTGGCTCATGCCTGTAATCCCAGCACTTTGGGAGGCCAAGGTGGGTGGATCACCTGGGGTCAGAAGTTCGAGCCTGGCCAACATGGTGAAACCCCATCTCTACTAAAAGTACAAAAATTAGCCAGGGGTGGGCGGATGCCTGTAATCCCAGCTACTCAGGAGGGTGAGGCAGGAGGATAGCTTGAACCCGGGAGGTGCAGGTTGCAGTGAGCCAAGATTGCGCCGCCGCACTCCAGCCTAGGTGACAAGTGTGAGGCTCTGTCTCAAAAAAAAAAGTGTTCATTATTGGTTCACCCTGTTGCTTCATTCGGTTTGTTGAATGAGTTAATGATATGCTTTTTATTTTGATGTCGTTTAGAGTCTGCACTTTGCCTTTGTAGGTAATTTTAAAAAACATGGTGCTCTTCTCTTCAAACATAGTTTGTATGTTTGGGAAGTGTCCCAAAGTTTAGGACATTCATTTGTATCTGAAGTGGCACTTAAGGAATGGCAAAAATATATTGGGAAAACTGGTAGCATGTCTTTATTATATTTCTCAAAACCTGTTTCTGCATCCTCTCCCTCACTACTGTCTTCCCATATATGTCTCATACACGCATAGGTGTGTGTACACACACACACACACACACACACACACCTGGTTAAATTTACTTTGATTTTTAAAAGTAGACTTTATATTTTTAGAGCAGGTTGAGGTTCAGAGCAAAATTGCAGGGAGAATGCAGAGAATTCCCGTATTCACATACCCATTCCCTCAGCCTGCCCCACTATGGGCATTGCACAGCACAGCAGCACATTTGTTACAATTCATGAACCTGCGCTGACACATCGTTATTACCCCAAAGTCATAGGTTACGTTAGGGTTTACTTTTGCTGTTATTCATTTTGTGGGTTTGGTCAAATGTATAATGATACACATCTGCCTTAAGAGTATCCTACAGAATGGATACTATCCTACAGAATGGTTTCACTGTGCTCCACCTATTTATTTCCCTTTGATTTTTAAAAAATAATTTAAAATTTGCTGTATTCTGTACCACCTTTTTATTTTTCTCAACGAAGTGGCACCTTGCTATGTGGGCCAGGCTGGCCTGGAGCTCCTAGGCTCAAGTGATCCTCCTGCCTCAGCCTCCTGAGTAGCTAGTACTGCAGGCATGCAGCACTGTGCCGAACTCATGATCCTCCTGCCTCAGCCTCCTGAGTAGCTGGTACTGTAGGCATGCAGCACTGTGCCGAACTGGTGATCCTCCTGCCTCAGCCTCCTGAGTAGCTGGTACAGCAGGCATGCACCACTGTGCCGAACTTCCCTTTGAATATGATTAATCATGAATTTTTTTCTGTTTCTATATTGTTTTTTAAAAAATTCTCAATTTAAATTTGGCTAGGTAAGATATAGAGATTTCACTCCTGTAGAGAATGCTGGCCAGAATGTTTTCCTCCGATGTGGCCAGTGTAATGTGTGGTTAAAATTGCCACGTCAAAATAAGCCTAGAAGTAGCCAGGGATGAGCCAGTACCACTGCCACAACCCTAGCCCTTGTCAGAGCTACAGGATAGCTTCTTAAAGAGTAGCTCCTCCCTTAGCCTATCTGTGATTTACAGAATATCAGGACTCCGTGTTCTAAGTCCTTCCACAGAAAACGGAAACCTGGGGCTGCGCGTTGACAAACCAGCTTCTGATTTCTAATCTCTCTCCCGAAACTTGTAAGTTTACCTTCTGCAGTGGGAGTTTTAAGGATATTTGAGAGTTAGCTTAGAAAAATTTGACACTGCTGTTCTTTTTATGCTGAAATGTAGCATGACTTGCTCATTTCTTCCATTAGAATCTCTAGAAAAGCAAAACATGAATCCTTTGTTTCTAGAATCATACTATTTAATTGCTTAAGGGGATCTTAGCCATCACTGAGTCCTGTTTTTCATTGTGTAGATTAGGAAGCCAAAGAGAAATTAATTGGGTGAGATGCCCAGAGTCACACATCTTGATTATAGTGGTGGTGGTGTGAATGATTATAGGGGTTGGTTCAAAAATTAGTACAAAGGCTAAGGAAAATTCCTTAAATTGGCCCCATGTACTGAATGTAAGGATTACAACTCAATTCAATAATTCTCACTTTTAATTATGAGGGAGGGATCCAGGGTGGAGAGGGAGACATGCTTTTGATTGTATGAGAGAGAATTACAGGTGAATGGAAGTAAGATGAGGCATGTACACATGATGCAGCTTCTCTATATGTACAGAACTCAAACTCAGAAATCTGTGGAATCAGGCTGCATCTCACACCAAGACAAGACAGAGTCGTTTTTTAGGTTGTGATTGTATTTATCCCTCATAAGTGATTTTAAATGATGAACCTGCGCTGACACATCGTTATTACCCCAAAGTCATAGGTTTTGTTAGGGTTTACTCTTGCTGTTATTCATTTTGTGGGTTTGGTCAAATGTATAATGATATACATCTGCCTTAAGAGTATCCTACAGAATGGATACTATCCTACAGAATGGAGGATACTCATTTTTGTCAAGCAATTCAATTTATTGTTTTGTTTTCCACCGTTTTGGTTTTGTTTTCTTCCCTATAATTTGCTTCTGAAGTGTTTTTGAGTGCCAGAGAACTCACCTTATATTTGCAGAGGAGCCACAAGGTGGCACTGTTGAAGTTCTCTTGATTTTCAGAGTATAGTTCAGAGGCAACCCCATCTCTTAGGGAGTATACAGCCTTGGAGAAGAAGCAGAACAGATGAACATGTGTTATGTATATAAATATGGTTAGTATAATTGCATACAATTCAGTTTTCATTACAGTGAATGTTAAGGCATTGTCCATATCTCTGTTAAAGTGGAATTTTGTGGTATTGAATATTACATGAAATGAATGGACCATTGGCTGGGACATGGAAATACTTTAGTTAAAATGCTATTTGTTTTAACAGGACTTGATCTGAACATATATACATATGTCAGTATATATCATACATATGAATCTAATAGCTGAGGACAAGCTGGCCAAGTTGATTGTGTTAGTTAGTATCTAGTAGACCTAGATTAAACATGGCATTAGTTCCTTAACACAGACTCTGCCTTAAGAGCATCACAGGAGAAACAGGTCCATGTCCATGTTCATACTTAGATTTAATAATGTGTGGAGCAACTTACGAATCATTATACTAGTTTGGTGTTTCATTATTACTGTACATCATCTTGAGTTTGAGTTTTTACACTATTGAAATTGACAGTCAACTTACGACTTCATTTGATTGTGAAAACCATTAATTCTATAAAAATTATCTATAATTTTAGCTTTTAAATGCTTGTTGTGAATATCATACCTGTCAGTATAGGGAAAATGGAAAATGTTTGTGGTCTCTGGCTCCTTTTGGCTCAGTGGAAAAAGTGATAATTATGATATGCCTTTCTAAAAATCATAGTAAATGTTTAGTCTGCAATGTCAATTTCTGCATGCTGAGTTTGCGGTTTGTAAAGAACTGTTGTTAATGGGAAAATTCATACCATGTAAAGTAGAGACAGATTGTATTTCAAAAAGGATGATAAGCATTGGTGATCTGTTTGTTGAGGTGTCTAAGCAATTAAGAGTTTTGAAACACTTGGCTTTCTGGCCCTGGTTTATTCAATTGTCTTATCCCCAAGAAAGGATGATGAGCCATATTGTGGACCATAAATGTGACAGAGATTAGATGAAAGGTCCTAGGAGATGTGGAAGAACCAGAGCATAGATAAAGCTTTAGGTTGGGTACACGGCCAGAGCAGCGTGACAGGAGAAAGTATGGGTGCTGGAGTCACACAGGCCCTTGGTTTGAATCCTAGCCCTTACACTCTACAGCTGTGTGGTCCCACTTTTTGGAGCCTCAGTTTCCTCATCTGTGTGGGAATAATAGCAATACTTTATGGGTACTGTGTGAGGATTAATGATGATACGTTATAGTATGCAGGGCATCTATTGGGTATTCTGAGGATGGCAGCTTAGAAAAACGCCCAGAGAGGCAGGAAACACCTGCTTCTCCAGAGGTAGTAAGATTTATTGCTAGGACATTTTAATTATTCCGAATTAATCCACTGATATCCGAATTGATTCATCCTGACATCACATGACAAAGTGTGTGTCACTTTGTTGATTTGTTTCCTGGGTGTTTTATGGAAAAAGATGTTAGACTTTGTGAGCTGAGCCGCTTTTCACTTCATTTCTGTCTGAAACTTTACGTTGGTGTTTTCCAGGTGGAAGGCATCCGTTGAGGGACTGTTGCTGTTAGCAATTGCATTGTTTTCTTTTAAAACGTTTAGAACTTCAGATTTTACAACTAGATTTGTGACTTGGGAGGGGGAAGGGATAGCAGGGGTGGGTGGGAAAGGAAGTTTCTTTGCAGCTGCTCTTTGAAATGCATTTCTAAAATAATAAAAGTTTCTGTAATTGTGTGATCTAAGCAGCTGTGTTAAAACTGGTTGTAGTCAAGGGCATTGAATTGACATTTGAGTTTCATTTTGATACAGTGTTATTTACATATTGAGCTTTGAAATTTGTGCCTTTTAATTGTTTTAACTTATTATTGAAGTTTTTCCAGACTTTCATCTGGTTCCTGTAATTAGCAACAGCAGCATGTCTTCAGCACTGTGTGCGAAGTGTTATGGCCTCAATTTTCTGAAGCTGTAATGTGTCCTCTTGTTGCCTTAGGAAAAGGGGGTGGTGGTGGGAGATGGGGGAGTCTCAGCATGATAGAGACAGTAATGAGAGCCAGACATAGGTACTTCAGAAAATGCTTAAATACCTCAAAG